CTCCTTGGATAAGATTGTTGAAGAAGGCAAAACCAATGGAGAGCCGGCCTGGTGAGAAGGGGTAGAGGGTGTTTCAGCAGGGTGCTGGAAGCAGTGTCCGGAAGAAGACAATTCTCACCCATATCTGACTTCCTAGACTCCTGGCCTCTGAAACAGAACCATTTGAGGCTTCCTGGGACCCCTGGGATCTTATAGGAGTAAGTAGAATTGGCTCAGGGAGGACGCCAGGTAGTGAGACTCGGCTCCATAGACGTTTTAGGTGGGCAGGTGCATGGCATTGGTTAATTTGTTTGTGCAACACTTAGGAAGCATGCTCAGTGTGATTGCAGAGGCCAGAGATTCAGGAGTGAGCAAGCTGCCCTCTGCAGCTGGCATTGCGTTGGACAGCATGGCTATCTGTCTGCCGTGTGCTGGAGAAAGAAGTGGTGACTGGGGTGAGGGGTAGCCTGGGCTCAGGAACCTTCCACTTCCTGCCCTTACAAGTCCAGGCTACAGTTGGCATATACCTCTTTATTATTCTATAGTATTAGGACTGAATGTGGGGCCGTGGGCAAGCTAGGCAGTTCTGCTGCTGAGTTATATAGCCTTAGCCCTCTCTCTGCATTTTATTTTGATCCAGGGTCTCACTGAGTTCCCACAGCTGGGGCTGTAGATGGCTTGGTGATCAAGAATATGCTGCTATTCAAAAGGACCAGGGTTTGGGTCCCAGCACCCACGTAACTGCTCATAACCATCCTTAACTCCAATTCTAGGAGATTCAGTGCCCTCATCTGGCTCCACCAGCACTCATGTGGTACACATACATATGTGCAGGCAAAACACCATACATGTAAAACAAGTTATTTGAATTTCCTTCAGCTTCCCAGTTGAGGTTGGCGGTGATCTTGTCGCTGTCGTTCAGACTGCTCTGTCTTTGTATGTGATGTTTGCCTGCCTTTGTCTCTGCATTGCTCTCATGGCCAGGCAGATCTGAAGCCTCCTGTAGGTGCTGAAGCTCCAGGTCCTCTGAGCACTCTTGACCTCTGACCTTTTCTCCAGCCAGAGCCTGTAAAATGTTTGTTCTTTTCTTTGTTTTGAGACACTACTTGTATAGCCCTGGCTAGCCTAGAATTTATTGTGTAGACTATAAATCATAAAGATCTGCCTGGGATCAAGTGTGCACCAGCATGACTGACCTGCAGGCTGTGAACCTTGGCCCCCCTGCCTTAACCTCTGAGGTACTCTAGATTACTATGGACCACCAGGTGCAGTTTGGATATCTTTTTTTGTACTTGTTCTTTAAAAAATTAATGATTCTGCCAGGCGGTGGTGGTGCATGCCTAACACTCAGAAGGCAAAGACAAGCAGATCTCTGTGAGTTTGAGGCCAGCCTGGTCTACAAGAGCTAGTTCCAGGACAGGAACCAAGCTACAGAGAAACCCTGTCTTGAAAAACAAACAAACAAACAAACAAAATTAATGATTCTGGCATGGCTCAGGATGGACAAGCAAGTGGGGAAGGGAGGCTGGGGATCAGCTGGGACCTGGCCTGGGACTAGAGTGTCTGTGGCCCTTCTTCCTGTGATGGGCTATCCCTCAGCCCAGAGAGCCCCCAAGGAGCCAGCACAGTGGCTCCAGGCTCAGGTTCTCTGCTGGGAACACCTCTCACATTTTAAAATTACACTTATGTATTCTTTGGGGGTTTATGCGCAGGCCATGTGTAGGGTCAGAAGACAGCTGAAGTCTTGTGACTGAAAAGGAATTTATAGGAGAACCTACAGTAGTGTTTGCGCATTGAGTGATCCTGCTCCCTGAGACATCTCCCTTACTCATCTGTATGTGGTCGCTCTCACAGGGCCTCCAAGAGGCTGGGCCCTCTGAGAAGCTACCCAGTCTGGGAAAGATCACCCTGCCTTCATCCCGATCTCCCTCACTCATAGTCTGTTGGGGTAATGTACCGGCCAGGACACATGGTCATGAGGACAGAGGCAAGGTCTGGGGAGCCACTGTGAGTTCTAGGGTGCTGGAGACGGGTGAGTGTGTGGAGGAGCAGGCTGTGTGTGAGTGAGGCGGCCTGGAGGTGTGCCTGTGGACAGGAAGGTTGAGGGGCAAAAAGCCAGAGTTTCCGTCAGGAGTAGGTTTGGGAGGTAAAAGGGATCCCAGAAGAATCTTAGCCTAGCCCAGGACTTGAAGTTACAGGCTGGGTTTAAAGATAGAAATATCCCTTCCTCGGGCGGTGGTGGCGCACGCCTTTAATCCCAGCACTTGGGAGGCAGAGGCGGATCTCTCTGAGTTCGAGACCAGCCTGGTCTACAAGAGCTAGTTCCAGGACAGGCTCCAAAACCACAGAGAAATCTGTCTCGAAAAATCAAAAAAAAAAAAAAAGAAAGGAAGAAAGAAAGAAATATCCCTTCCTGTCCCCTGGGAACCATGTACCCCTCTCTCCCAGGCGACCCAGTGGAACTCCAGAGAAAGACCTGTGCAGTGTTATGGCACCCTACTTCCTGCAGCAACGGGATGCCCTGTGCCACCGAGTGCAGAAGCAGAAGGCCAAGAACCAGGACCTGGCTGATGCTGTCCTGGCCGGGCGCAGGCAGCTGGAGGGGCTGCAGCAGCAGATCCAGGGCCTCCAGCAGACATGGCAGGCAAGTGTTTGGCTCAGCCTGTTTTCTCCTGTCTCAGGCCCCCTGGCTTGGCTTCCTCTCTCCCAGCCTAAGGGATCCCATGGGAGCAGTGCGGTTGTGCAGCACCCTTGCCCGGACATGCGAGGCTGACTCCTCAGTTCCTGTGCTGAGGTCCAGTGCAGCACGTGTTCCTCCACAGCTGCTAAGTGAATGGAAGCAGAGTGGGCAAGAGCCTGGGCGCAGCTACTGCTGCTGTAGACACGGCCAGTGTCCTTAAAGAGCATGTGTCAGAAGGACCCCAGAGGCTGATGACATGGGTGTGAGTTCTAGCACTCACATGGTGGCTCACACCCCCACTTCCAAGGATCTGTCTGCTCTTCTGGACTCTGTGCACATTGGAAACATAAACTTAAAAAGACTGCAGAGCCTCTGGTGGTTGGAACATGTGCCAGCAAGTGTGCATCCCTGAGAGAAAGCCAGCTTCTAAATTGGTCCCAAAGGACTTGTGAGCTCGTGGAGCCGGGTGATGCAGGTGGCAGGTGTGACTGGAGCAGTGAGATCGCGTCTTAGCTGCTCCAGGTGCGCCTGAGTGGGCCTCTCCATCTGCCACATAGATGCCCAGTGTGCCTAGTACAGCAGATAGCCACTTTCTAAGGCAGATTGTCCAGCTTCCGAAGCTCATGGCTCCCAGGTTTCATCTGGTTCTCTCTTTTGCAGCCTGCCAGCCTCAGACAGGTAGCAGCAGGTGGAAGGCTGTTATAAGGAGGGCCTCTTCTTTGTCCCAGCTACCCAGCTAGCCTAGCTCCAAAATAACCACACAGAAACTGTATTAATTAAATCATTGCTTGGCCCATTAGCTCTAGTTTCTTATTGATTAATTCTTACATATTAGGTTAACCCATTTCTATTGATCTGTGTATCACCACGAGTTCGTGGCCTTTCAGCAAAGTCTATCTCTGGCATCTCTCCGACTCTGCCCTTCTTTCTCCCAGCATTCAGTTCTGTCTTCCCTGCCTACCTAAGTTCTGACCTATCAATAGGCCCAAAGCAGTTTCTTTATTAACCAATGAAAGCAACAAAAAGACAGCAGGACCTCCTACACGAGAAGGCCTGTCCCCATCCCTCCAGTCTCCCAGTGCTTGGTCCTTAGGTACTTGAAGCCATCTTGGTGGATCCTCAGCCTCTCCATCCCCAGGAGACTGCCTAGTGCTGCCATCTCCCTGGATAACAAGTTGTCCAAATCATGGTTCCTGAACCTGTCAGCTCTTCTTCCATAGCCCCAACGCCAGCCCAGCTCCCATCCTGGCCTTGTCTGAAGTGCAGCAGTTGGGTCAGATGTTCAGTGCTGACCCTGGGCGGGAGCTTCAAAGCCTCTTTCACTGCCTCACTGCTCAGTGACTGCGCGTTGTCCAGGAGGCCCTGGGTTCTGCTGTTAGCACTAGAGGGAAGGCAAAGGAGCTGGAGCTACTTGGGAGTCCTTTATTTATTTACTATATATACAGTGTTCTGTCTGCATGTACGCCTGCAGGCTAGAAGAGGGCACCAGATCTCATTACAGATGGTTGTGAGCCACCATGTGGTTGCTGGGAATTGAACTCAGGACCTCTGGAAGAGCAATCAGTGCTCTTAACCGCTGAGACATCTCTCCAGCCCCGGGAGTCCTTGTTGAACATGGATTCTGCTCTTGAGAGGTCCTGCAGAGGTGGCTAGGGCATCCAGATGGCCATCAATACTTAGTGGTAGGGACTTCCCACTTGTCTTAGTTGATGAGCTCCAGACCCACCCACATTGTTGTAGGGGACCTGGGCTGGGAAGGGGCCTGGCACATGGGGTCTGTTTTCCTCATACCCCACGCATTGTTCTCTTCTTTGGTTTCAGGCTCTTCACAGAGAGCAGAGGGAACTGCTGTCAGTGCTGAGGGCACCTGAGTGAAGAGCCACCAGACCCCAGCGCAGAGGGCAGTCATGGTCCTATGGAGTCCGTCCCCACACACTACCTTCAGATTCCTGCCGCCATCTTCTGCCTGGAAGACTGGCACTCCCACACTGGGCATCAGACACCAGGCTTTGTCTCCTGGAGTCGTAGCTAGCCTTGGCCCCACGCCCTCCTTCTGGTTCTCCAGCCCTCCCTGGACTGGACTCGGGATAGTGTTTTCAGTCTGCACTGATTGCTGCCTTGCTGAACAGCCTAAGGGCCCTTGCCATGTTCTCCCCACATCTGTAAATAAACTTCCTCTATCACACTGTAATCTGTGAGGATGTGTCTTTGCCAGGCGCCTGGGGTCAGGACCACTTCTGGACTCCTAAGCTCTGTCTGTAGTCAAGACATCAGTCTGAGGGCTCTGGAAGCCTACAGGCTAAGGAGTTGGTTGTTTTGTAGCAGGACCCAGGACCATGAGGTTCCCCGAGGTCAGGACGAGCTGCTGTGTGCCGCTCTCTGGGGCACAGAGTGGGGTGAGGTCCCAGCATAACTAAGCACTTCCCCTGTTTCTCCTACCCCAGTCTTCCCTAGGGTGGGGCAGATATTCTTTTCTCCTTAACCCAAGGGCTGCTGGTGTAGAGGACAGAAGACTCCACACCGAGGTGATCCTGTGCTGTCACCTGTCACCATTGTGAGTTCAGGTTGATGGCCAGGTGACTGCAGACAGTGAAGACAGGTGAGGGTGGGAGTAGCAGGTCTGTAATCCCAGCACTCTGGAGGCAGAGGCAGGAAGGGCTGAGTTTGAAGCCAGCCTGGGCTACATCCTGAGACCATCTCAAAAGAACAAAAAGGTCAGACAGGTCACACACAATACCAGGTCACCTTCTCATTCCCCACCCGACCCTGGCTGAGACAGTAGTGGCTCTCAGGTGGGAGATGGGGCCAGGGTAGGATGCTCTGTCCCTGTGAAGACAGGAATAGGCCCCATCTGAGGTTGACACTGGGAGGCTACCCTGACAGGATGGAAACCGCGGGCTCAGAACCCAGACGTGTGTTGCATGCATGTACATCTTGCAGGTCTTCCCACCAGGCTCCACCTTCCTGGTCTGTATTGGTCCATCACTGTGCCAGAACTGAAGAGGCCATACTCACCTTTGTCAGCCGAGGTCTGTGAACTTTTCTCCTGGTCCCATTCGACCTGTCTTAGTTAGGGTTATTAATTACTGTGATAAAACACAATGACCAAAGCAGCTTGAGGAAGAAAGCTTCACTGGCTTACACTTGAGTATCAATGTCCATCGAAGGAAGTCAGGGCAGGAAGCTGGAGGCAGGAGCTGATGCAGAGGCCATGGAGGGTGCTGCTTACTGCCTTGCTCCCCATGGCTTGCTTTCTTCTAGAACCCAGGACCGCCAGCCCAAGATGGTACTATCTATCTACCCCGGGCTGGGCCTCCCCTTCAATCACTAATTTAGAAAAGCCCTACAGCCAGATTCATGGAGGCCTTGTGTCAACTGAAGCTTCCTTTCAAGTTGACAGAAAACTAAGGCCACACCACCCACCCTTTCCCCACTTGAACTGAGCTTTCTGCGCTGGGCAAATGAGGACATTGCTGGCTGCTCCTTTCCTGGGGTTTGGCTCCTGCCCTCGTGGCAAGCACTGAAAATCACAGGCTATGGGACCTGGAGCCCAGTTCATCCCAAATCTATTTTAGACCTTTGCACCATCTCTAGGGTACTCATAGGGCCCAGCTAGTGCTCTAGCTAAGGCTGAGGGAGATACAGAGACTAGGAGAGGAGGGGCAGCCCCAGGCGGAAGAGGTCGGGGCAGAGTCAGTCTGGCAGCCTCTGATTGTGGCCCACACTCTACTCCCAGGGCCTCGCCCAAGGCAGCTGCAATCACCAACCACAGCATCCCTTGGGTTTGACATGTTGAGCCAGGGCACATGACCCCCCAATTAGTCCTGGCAGCATCCCCTGCCCCGCCTGCTCACACTGGGGGCACAGGCAGTGGATATAAGTGGTACTGGAGGCTGAAGGGCACAGAGCAGACAAGTTCCACACAGCATCCTAGTGCAGAACTGGCAGGCACCATGAGGACCCTCTCTCTGCTCACTCTGCTGGCCCTGGCTGCATTCTGCCTCTCTGGCCCAGCAGGTGCGTTTCCTTCTTGTTCATTTCTAGGGGTAATCGTACTCCTGAAGGATGTCAGGAAGCAGAGCTAACTGCTTACTCTTTTTTTTTTTTACAGATGCAAAGCCCAGGGGCTCAGAGTCTGACAAAGGTACTGGTAGGAAGCCTGGAGCCTCTGCCCTGCCCCTCACCCTGTCTCCAGCTCCCCCTTCCCCCTGCCTGGCTGTCCCCACCTTTCCTCCCTGACCCTCTCCCTCTGCTGCACAGCCTTCGTGTCCAAGCAGGAGGGCAGTAAGGTAGTGAACAGACTCCGGCGCGACGTGGGCCATGGACTTGGGTGAGTGGGAAGGAGGTGCTGTTTGCCTTCCACATTGGTAAGGAGACGTTGGGGGGGTCCCCCATGAGCTGCCAAGGGCTGTACAGTGCCAGTCGATTCCTCTTGTGTGGCGGGAAGAGGGTGTGTGTACCACATGTTGGTGATGCCGCCATTTGGTGTTTCTCAGAGCCCCAGCCCCCTACCCAGATCCCTTGGAGCCCAAGAGGGAGATATGTGAGCTCAACCCCGATTGCGATGAACTAGCAGACCACATCGGCTTCCAGGATGCTTACAGCCGCTTCTACGGCACCACTGTTTAGGGCAGTCTCAACTTTGGCCACTCCGACCCTCCCTGTGTCCTTCTCTCTGCCCTGCAAGTGTGGGTGGCACAGCTGCTCCAATAAAGTCCAGATGAGAAACTGGGCTCCTGTCTGTCCATTGTGGGGTTCAGGGGGTAGTGATGGGGGTGGCGGAAGCGCTCACACTCAGTCAGAAAGCTACAGTCCAGTTTATTGTACTGCTTTGTTGTGGATGGCACTGGAGGTGGCTTTCTAAAGTCCAGCAGCCCCCCTCCCCACAGTGACCCCCACCACATCCGCTATGTCACTGGGGACACATCCAAACACGAATCAGCAAAGGCCTGGTCACAATGACGAGCAGAACAGGCAGCTCCTGTGTGGACACCCAGTTGCTGACAAGGGGCCCAGTCTGGCCCTGGGGCAGGGCAGGTATGTGGTGCAAATGCCTCACAAGCACCCAGGATGACCTGAACTGAGCAGATCACGTGAGAGGCCCCACACCTCCAGCTCTGCCCCAGCCTAGGTACTTGTCCCCACTTGCTGCCCTTCACTGCCTGCCTTTGCTTCTCAGGCCCCGTCAGGGCTCCTCCGCCTCCCTCCATGCCACTACCAGAGATGGGCTCACTGCCGTTTAGCCTGGAGCTCCTCTTCCAGTGGGCCACCCTGCAGCAGGGGGCAGCTTCCAGGGCTGCGCAGCAGAGAGGCTGTGAAAGCAGCAATGATGAGCAGGTTCCCGATCACTGCCAGGCTCAATGTGGCCATGGTGGCCTCCAGGCCAAGGGTGGGTTCTTGCATGGTCAGCCAGGCTCTACGGGATCCCATATCAACCAGCACTGCCTCCAGCTGGAAGTGGGTGCCCAGCACTGCACAGATGTGGAACAGCTGGTGGCTATGGCCTGAAGGGAGGGGTTAACTGGTTAGGCACAGAACCCTTACAGTTTTGAACAGATTGACCTGTAACCTGGGGCAGTCACCTGCCCACTGGGCCTGGGAAGGAGAAAACCAGATCCCTGAAGGTTCTGGAAGAGCGATTGGACTGAGCTGCATAAAGCCCTAAATTCTGTGATTACTGAGGGCTGGGTGGGGTGCAGTGGAGGGGGGGGGGACTGGGACATCCCTCTTGGCTAGGATACCCCATGTTCCAGTCTCCCTGCTCTGCCAGGCCAGCCTGAGCCAGGCTTGTGCTCACCAATATAGTCGAAGCGCCCAGGTGCCAGGCGCTCTGGCAGACGGGCTGCAAAAAGGAAGCCTGTGAGCAGAGCGCAGAGGAGGTGGTAGGTATGGCTGGAGCTCAGTGCCTCCTGCCCGCAGCTGTGGGTCCTGCCCCAGCACAGCTGCAGCTGGTAAGAGAAAAGAGAGCCGCTGGGTGCTGGGCGCCAGGGTCCTGTGCCTGGAGATGGCAGAGAGCTGAGGAGAGACTGATGGAGAGCCCTGGTGCTTACCCTGTAGAACAGCGGGAGGTTGTCAAACAAGAAGGGGTAGGCAAAGGCCGTGCTGCGCAGAACCTTGCTGAGCCTCGGGCTTTCTAGCTCTGGGAACCTGACAAGCAAGAAAAGCAGGTTGGCCTCCATCCCTGGGGTGAGTGCAGATCAAGAAGTTATTTTGGGTCAGAGGGGGGTGAAGGGCCTCAGTGGCTAAAAGAACATCAGGAAGCATGTGTTGGGGCATGCCTGTAACCCCAGCATTGGGAGGTAGAGGCGGGAGGTCAGCCATATAGTTCAAGACCCTGTCTCAGGGTGGTGGTGGTGCCCGCCTTTAGTCCCAGCACTTGGGAAGCAGAGATGGGGATATCACTGTTTTTGAGGCCAGCCTGGTCTACTGAGTGAGTTTCGGGTGGGTGAGTGGGGACCCTGTCTCAAACAAACAAAAGGAAGTGAGGAAAAAGGATAAATAAAAGGAAAGAAGGGAGAGAGGGGAAGGAAATAGGGGCTGGTGAGATAACTCAGCAGGTATGGTAAACACAAATATGTGTAGTAAAAAATAAAAGAGAAAGCCCTCAGGACACAAGATCCTCGCCCCGTGAAAACGCCACGTCTGTTAAGTGGCCACAAAGAATAAAGACATCTGCCTTTCCAACAGTAAGGCCTCCTACTGGGTTGGGTACTGGGCTGGCTCAGAAGCAGTGCAGCAACCCACCGCGAGTAGCAGGAGAGGCCGGTGCACAGGAAGGAGTTGAGCGCAGCGGTAGGCACGAAGAACTGGTGCAGGCGACCGTGCAGCCAGGAGGCCGGCATGGAGTAGGCGGCATAGGGGAAGGCACAACCTGCGGCGAGGTGCAAGTTGAGGCCTGCGGGCTCATCCTCTGCGCCCCACCATCACCCACTGCCCTCAGCTCACCCAGGCTGTAGAGGCTGAGCGCCCCATAGTCCAGGAAGTAGCAGATGTGGCGCGCACGGGGCGACATGGAGCTAAAGGTGTGCGCGCAGCAGGATGCAAAGGGGTAGAGGCAGGCGGGCAGTAGGAAGACCAGCAACGGCAGGTGGTACGGCTCCGCGGGGAAACCCGAGCTACCCAATGCCAGGAGGCGCCACAGGAAGTACCTGTGCCGAGCACCTGCTCAGGTGCTGGGACCAGAGTGCCTGACCAGTCCCTGCCCGCCTGGCACCCCGTCTGAACCTAAGGCAGAGCCTTTGCTCACCAGGTGGGTAGGAAGTGAGTCCAGATGTTGACCGTCTCATTGGTCATCTGGAAGGAGCTGAGGACACAGTCTAAGGCTGAGCTTGTGGGGCGTCGGTAGCCAGACATGATGTTGTCTTCCCAGAACACCTGGAGGTGGTGGGGGAGAGAGCAGAGGGGTCATGGTATGCAGGCCTATCCCCTGCATGAAAAGTGTCTGGTAGCCTGGCCTTTAATCCCAGCACTACTGAGGCAGAGGCAGGCGTTCCATGAGTTCGAGGCCAGCCTGGTCTACAGAGTGAGTTCCAGGACAGTCGGGCTTCAGAGAGAAACCCTGTCTCGAAAAGTAAAAAGTGTCTGGAAACAGGATCTCAGTTGTCCCAAGCCAAACTCAGTCCAACCCCTTTCTTACCAGTCTTCCAAACTCACAGACCCATACTGAGATTAGGTAGGATTGGGGAATACACACATAGGGTGTTCTGCAGTAAGGGACTCTGGATGGAGGGATATTTGGGGCTTTGGGGAGGGGTCGCAGGTCTATACTGCAATAGAGAGATGAGAAAGTTAGCCTGCAGGAGGAGCTTCCCTACTAGCTAACAAGAGGGAAGTCTTTGCCCCAGTGAGCCCTCTGGGGAGAGGCTAAGTTGGTGATGGGTTGGGGCCCCTCACCCGAGGGACCTGGTGGACTCGAAGAAGTTGAGGCAGCTTGAGACTGAGCATGGTGGCCAGGTATCTCCACGTTGTTCTGGAGATAGAACAGGGGTGGGTTAGGGATTGGCACCCAACTACAGGTTTCTACAACCAGATTCAGGGTAGAGTCAACCACTGAGTCCAGGATGGGCTCCTACACGGGTAGCAGCCGGAGCTGGCCACAGCTGTTTCCCTTTCCCCTCCTGGACCTAGCCTGGGGCATTCAGTCCTGCCGCTGCGAAGGTCCTCAGCCTCTGCCGGCCGGTGTGCAGTAAAGGGCTCCCAGCAACAAGGCTGCCTCCTGTTAGAACCCCGTTTGGTCCTCAAGCAGACTTCAAGGAGTCTCCCCCCCTACCCCACGCCCCAAAGACGGAGATAAGGACAAGGAATTAGGGGGTGCGCTCCTCTTTTCGAAGGAGACCACCTGTGCCCTTGAGAGTACTTGGGACCCCTGCCCCTCCTGGGTCCCGTGCCCCTCAGCCCAGACCTGTGCGCCGCGTCCGGGTGGCCTCGGCTCCGCCTGCCCCACCCTTCCTTCAGCCGCCTCGCCAAGCACATTCCTTGGCACTGGCGGGGCAGGGCTAACGGAGTAGGCTGGGCCGCTGACTTAGACCCTTCCTCCTGCCCCAGGCTAAAACTTCGCAGCAAAATCCACCCTCTTTTCCTGCCGCCAGCCCGGCCCGTCCGGGAATATTGCAGGGCTTACAGTGTTAGTCAGTCAGTCTGTCCTGTGAGCTCGGTGCTAAGGACCTTGCCTAGTTTGACAGCACAAACCTTGTCCCCAGGCCCTTATCCCAAGTGAAGAGTCGGTGTAGGAGAGGTGCCTATCCTGACTGCTGCCCCTCTCCCTGGGAAAGGCTGAAACGATTCTGGGAGGGGTCCATCTGCCTTGCAATAGGGTCTGGAGATCTCCGCAGCAGAGAGGAATGCGAGCCTGGGCCGATACTTCATCTCCCAGAGACGGACCTGGCTACCAGCTAGGATCCTGGAGTGGCTGGGGATGTGGGTCATGCCTGGCAGAATGAGACAAGGGGAAGCTGGAACAATCTTAGCCTTGTCTATTAGCCTTGGAGTAGCACGGGGGTGGCCCAGTCCATTAGCAGGCAGCCCTCAGCGTGAGTCTGGGCCCACTTGACTGCTGTTTTGACCAGGACACCTGGTCCAAGTCCCCCAGGATCTGAGACTGCCAGGCAGGAGGCTCCAATGCCAACTTCAGCTGCAGCTCAGAAGCCATCCTTGCTTTGCCCTTGGCGAATGTTGGGCCACCTGTGAAGGGCATTGCCAATCTATCTGATTTACCCTGACACAATGAGTTGCCAATTCAGTAGGGTGGGTATAAAGAACCTTTAGCTTCAACCTCATTCCTTATTCCTCCTGCAGGACAGCACCCAGCTGGGAACACCCAACTAGGTCCAGGCTGCAGATTTCATCAGTGTTCTGTAAACCAGGGCTGGTGATGCTTCCTGTGCTCCCAGAGATGAAAGAAACCACCAAAATCCAAGGCCGGGTTGGTTACACAGCAATTTGGAACTCTCTAAATACCACGTGCTAGGGATACAGTTGGTAGTGATGTGGAAGAGACACAGTGATAGATTTGATGTTATGACTCAGTAATAGATTCACCTAGGAGACATTAAGTAACATGAGCGGAACTTAGCTAAAGGAGCACTGGGAAGCAGTGGGTGAGTGGGTGCTGAGATGTAATATTCGCTGATTCTCATGACAAAGGAGACAGTGACTAAAGGGTCAACCAAAGGCAAACCTCTTACAAGGAAGCCTAGGGTGATGTAGGGTCACAAGCATCAAGTCCAGGTCGGCCATTAAGTCTTCTTTGCTGTTATGGGGGGAGGGGAGGGATGATACAAAACTCTGCCAAGTAGGCAAGACCCTGGGTAATAACTATTCAGAACAGAACACTGGCCGGACATAGTGGTGCATGCCTTCATAATATTTGGGAGGCAGAGGCAGGCAGGAATCTCTGAGTTGGAAGCCAGCCTGGTGGCCTATAGAGAGTTCCAGAAAAGCCAGGGATACACAGAGAAACCCTGTCACGGAAAACAAAACCGCTTGTGTACTTAAAAACCTGTGGTAATACACACTGCTTTTGCTGTGTGATCCACCTGCTTAAACCATTAGATTTGCAGTCTTCTAAGTCAACCTGGGGTCGGGAACCGAAAGAAACTTAAGGATGGCAGTATTTATAGCATGTATAAGTGCAAAGTTTACATGTTAGTAAAATCTGTTCAAGGTCAATTTTGCCTGGTGCCTTTATAAGTCTGAAGTGGAAGATGACATCAGATCCCCTGGAACTGGGGTTGTGGATGGCTGTGAGCCACCATGTGGGTGCTAGGACTTGAACTCGGGTCCTCTACAAGAAACAAGTGCTCCTAGCCACTGAGTCATCTCTCTGGCCCAGGCACTTAAGGGCTCGCCTCAAGAGTGTGCAGTGACTTCCCACTGAAAGGCGTATCAGTCTCTAACAGTAGAGCACTTCTGAAAACATCAGGTTCCCCTTACCCCCACCCCAAGACTCGAGGACAGAAGACACGGCAGACAGAGTGGGCTTGGGGGCGGGGTCTTTATTAAATGATGCTTGAGTCTCAAGTCTCTGCCAGAATTGGAAATGGGATAATCCCAACTGTCCCCTGGTTTTCCCAAACCCTCTGTCTTAGCAGAAGGCAAGAAGCCAGCTCCTCTAAGCACAGCCAAAGCAGCTAGGCCAGTTGGGGTAAGGAGGGGAAAGCAGAAAAGAACCCAGCCCCAGCTATGCTCTGCTTTCAGGCTGAGGGGTGGAACTGGGGTAGCCATGGCCAGAGCTCTTTGCTCGCAGGGTGCCATTCTGACCCTGAGCAATTCATGATCTCTGCTTCTGTGTCACTTGGCGTTCCAGAAGCCAGCCCCTGCTTAGCCCACCAGGGCTATCATCCTGGGGATGGGCAAAAGGAGGGTAGTTCAGGGCAGAGGGCCCCAAGGAAACCGCTTTCAGGGATCTTCTCTGCCACCCTTCCTCCAGCCCTCCCTGGATGGTGAGGGGGGTGGCCTTGGCCCTCACTCCCTCATTGGCACCCCTTACCCAGCACAGCAGCCAAGAGCACAAAGCACAGTGACTGTGAACTGGTGGGGAAGGGATGGCTGCTGGCAGAAAGCCAGTCACCCCACACCCTAAGGGCCTGGAAGCTGGAGGTGGCAGAAAGGAAGTGGGGCCTCAGAGTGCGCAGCCCCTGCTCTATGGTGTAGGCCATTTGAGGCCCTGCTTCCCTAAGAGCCACCACAGCTGGCTCCAGAGCTGCCCTGTCCCCACGGAAGACGAGGGGGGGGTCCTTGAGGATAGGCAGGGTCGCAGAGAACCATGCAGACACTCAGTATCTCCCAACTCCTCCTGAGAGCCAGGGGCCCAAACTCCGAGCCCCACCCACCCTGTATCTTGGGTGAGGACAGGGCCCTTCTAGTGTCCTTTCCTCTCAGAAGTCCAGGAACTGCTCCAATGAAATGCAGACACCCATGCCTGCCCCTGCCCCGCCCCGGGGACAGCAGGGGTAAGGTAGAAGGCTGGAGAGGGGTCCACAAGCCACTCCCACTCCAAGCACTTCCTCACTTTCCTGATTTCACCTTAGCAACAGGGGCCCCCATCCTCCCAGCTGGCTCCTGGGCCCTCCCTGCAGCCTCAGTGCAGCTGGACTTCCTTCCTGTTTGCGTGTGGTGGGTGACTGCAGGTGGCGGTCCTGGTTGCCAGAGAGTGCAGGAGAAATCTGGAGTCAGCCCCACTGCAGGGCTTGGGGCCCTATCTCAACCAATCTCCTTCCACTGCCTGTAGAAGTCCACAACATTCTTGACATCCACACTGGCATGGGCGGCAGCTTGCAGGGCGGCCTGCGGAATGATGGAGGAGGGAAGATGAGGGAAAAGGCAGCTTGTCTGGGGCATCTCAAGACAACTCTTCTCTAACCCGGGACTCACCTGCATGGGCCCAGAGAGCACACTGGGGTTGTCCAAATGAAGGCCTGTGATGATGGTCACCATGCCACTCGGGTCCTCCTCCCCTGCCCCTTGGGCCAGAGTTAGCTGTCTGCAGCTGTCCAGGATCTTATACAGAGTCCTGAGAGTGTGGGAGTAAAGGGAACAAGACCACGCATGACCATAATCTGAACATAAAAATCTCCTGGGGACAAGAGAAAACAGGCAGCTGGTGGCCCTGGAGTATGTGCCAGCAGCTATAGAAAGACGTTGAGCCCAGGCGTCTCTGGGTAGGGGAGTTCACAGGGGCTAGCAGAGTCAGCTCTGACAGGCTCTGGGGAGCGGGCTGACACTTTACCAGGCATCTGTATCCTGCCGCTTCAGTTTATGCCGTTCAAAGCTCTTTCCCATCTCCTTCTGGCAGCGAATGTATCTGCAAAGGAGACCACAAAGGTGGAGACACGGTTTACACAAAGCAGGCCATTGTGGCTGGGGAGGTGTGTCAGCTCAGGGAGACAGGATAGCTATGTCCCTCCCATCAGGCTGTTTGGAGCCATTTTCAGGTGGCTTCTTGGATGCCAGGCTGGCTTTCTCTACAGATAGCTTCGGGTTTCTGTTTTTTTTCCCAGGGGAGGAGCTGGGAAGGCAACAGAAGCCGATGCTTTCAAGCCAGAGATTCTGGGGGTGACCTCCAAACAAGCAGGCCTTGTGCACTTCCTGGCCAGGCAGGCCAGAGAGGCAGGGCAGAGGAGGAGCTCTCTGCTCTCAGTCCCAAAGGCTAGAAGGTGGGGCCTGGGCTGGGCTCCAGCTTCTCCCTGGGTGGCTTCGACAGCCCCCTTAGTGGGCAAATAGGAGGCCTGCTCCCTAAGTCTCCAACTGAAGCTTGACAGCTCCTTCAAAGGAGCCAGAGCCTGGAGCTGGGACTAGACTGCTATTCTCTCCCAGCAGGTGCTGTCCAGAGTCTGCCTTAGAGACACAGGGCAGTGTTTCTGACTCCCCAGGGCTCTCAGCTCTTCAAATCTCCTTGTCTTGTGAGCTGAGACCTCTCCCAAAGGGGCATATGAATCGTGAACAAGGTCCCTGTCACTTGCAGGGAGCAACGAGCTCCCAAGCACGTCTAGATAACGGACCCAGGCTGCCCAAAGGTCCTAGCCAGACCTGCGCTCGCTCTCACCTGTTTCCTTTTTTAAACTCTGCCTCCAGGTACCGGATCCCATCCCGGGCCCCTGGCTGTTCCTTTTTCAGCAAATCCAGGCCATCGATCACTAGCAGGCAGAGTGGACGAAGGTAAGAAAAAGTAAGTTCAGGCTGTAGACTACACTGCAGGAAATGCTACAGGATATGGGAGACGTTGTAGGATTGTGATGCCCACGAGATTTTGGAAGCTCTTTGAAAAGGTGACCAGCCAGCAGTGAGCTAACAACTCCCCCAGCGCTTCCACTGCAGTTTCTCATTACTTGCCCGTATCTTTGCAGCAATGTTTAACACAGATGTCTATGCTGAGGCTGCAGTTCACAACCAAGACCACATATACACTGGTCCCAAAGAACACACCATCTACACCCAG